TTCTTAACTTGCCCTACAGGCAAGTGCTGTTTTTTTGGGAAATTCAAATTACAAGAGGATTGTAATCAATCCTGCTAATCAAAAAGGGTTTTGAGGCTAGTTGAAATGACTTGTGGGCTAGTACATGTCAGCCACCACTTGCCCAATTGGAAGGCTGTAAGACTGACTTTCTTTGCACTCTGATTTTGTTAATGTTTGTTAGGTATATATAATTTTGGCAGTTGTTTCTTGATAAGTTGGTTTTAATTTCCATGCTTTGGCCAGTCTTGATTTTGAAGAGTCCTTACATTTCAGTGGATGCCACTGAATTCAATAAATCATTGACAAGTCTAAATTTGCGCAAGGGTCCATCCTTGAATTTTTACCAAACTGGATATGATAAAATTAAGGTTAGGTGTTTTGAGTACAGATTTGATTATTTCTTTTTCCCTAAATTCTGTTGTTTAGCCTTTTACAAAAGGTAGCACAATAATGCTTGTGTACTAATCTACAAGCAAAGTGACCAGTAAAGCTCTTTGTACGTGTATCATTTCCATACTCTTGTGCATGTGGCACAGATTTTTCATGGACAGAGCTCAGGACAGGGCTGTGACAGTCATTTTGTGGATTACAACTTGTATTCAGCCAGCAGCCTTTTTGCTAAATGTTATGTCTTATAGAAAGTATGCCTCTTGTGTAAAATGGAAACGTTTAATATTGGGCAGAATTAATGATGACTTAGTTGCATTAATGAAAAAGATGTAATGATATCAATATTCTACATTTATGTATATATGTTGTTCTATGCGTACAACCAAGAAATGAAATGTTAAATTGTTTAGTATAATAATGTCAATTTGGTTGTATTAAAAATTTAATGTGAAAGATGTAATAATATCAATATCCTTTATATTCAATTACGTAAATCGTTTCACTCTCTTGCATTTTTTGAATTATTTGGAACGTTCTGAATAAATATTGTCTCACTTGACAATGTTTCTGTTTACCTGTGAAAGAGGCTAATTCTACACATGTTACTTAATTTCTCCTTAGTTAGAATTAATATCTTGGGAGAAGAACAAGAATCCTTTTAACGAGAACCTTTGAAAAAACGAGATTTTTCTCATTGGAATAATCAGTATTCGAGGAAGAACAAGGATTACCCAGATTCTTTTCAGACGGATAGTAAATCTTGGGAGGGGAACAAGAATTCTCCCAACAAGATCATATAAAAGATGAGATTCTCGTCAAATAAATATTTAATCTTGAGGGAAGAACAGTGATTCTTTTATCAAGATCGCTTGAAAAATTATGTCCTGCCCAGAAGAATATTCATTCTTGGGATGCACAGAACGATTCTTCCGAGAAGATTCCTTAAGACTGAGATTCTTCTCAAAAGAACTTTCTGTCTCGCAAAAAGAAAAAGAATTCTTCCGAAAAGGACTAAGCAAAACTAGTTTCTTCTGAAAAGAATTCTTAATCTTGGAGAAAGAACTAGGATTCTTCCGAGAAGATCCTTTAAGACTGAGATTCTTCTCAAAAGAACCTTCTGTCTCGCGAAAAGAAAAAGAATTCTTCCGAAAAGAACCAACCAAAACGAGTTTCTTCTTAAAAGAATTCTTAATCTTGGGGGAAGAACTAGGATTCTTGTCTCGAGAATCATACTTCTTCTGCACAGAATTATAATTCTCCTCTGGGGACGAAGAATCCGAAGATCTAAATTCTTCTTAACAGCAACAAAAATCTTCCCGTAAGGATATATTTTCTGTTGAGGAGAATTAAAACTAAGAGTGAAAGTCATTTAATCGAAGGTTCAATGCTAAAGAGTCTCTGCTTCTAGCCAGTCACAGCAGACTTGCCTAAGCATTCATTTGTCATGAGTTAAACAGGTGGGTCTTCTGGTCAGTATAGATGGGAGTTGCCTCAGCCGGCGTTGTATTAGACTGAACTGTTATCAGCAAATGGTGAAGTTGTGCAATTAATGAAGTTGTGAAAGAGACGCCTCAATTCATTTCTGGTAAAGGACCGAGCTAGTTTCTCCGAAAAGTTAAAAGTTTCTTCGACAAAAGTGGTGGACGAAAACCGGACTGTTTCCCGCCTTATTTTACGTCTAGACGTGGCCGTGGAACCTTACAGCAACTAACTGCTCCACTTCGTAGGCCAAATAACTTGCAGTTAGTTCTACTTGGACATGATGTTTATCGCTACTCGTCTAATCTACCTGACCAGCCGATTAAAGTGTCGCTGTTTGTTCTTTACCGCAATCTGAAGGACCAGGTCCACGCAACGGGTGTGCCGAGGGTACTGCAGGCAAGCCCGCCGTTTCAAGTAGTATGGTCAGTTATTCATGATACAAGAACAGACAGACCAGAATCATCCCTGACAGGGCGTTGTCCCTAAGATTTGAGTTCCAGGATTTTTCCAGGGCGTTGACGAAAACACCTATTTTGCACTTGACAGAAACTGACTGACCACCCATGCTAGCCCAGGCAGGGGAGACAGTTTAAGGCCTAAGCCAAGAACTTGTGAGCGAACATTATGATAACACAGTGACTCACTTTTTCAGTGGTATTGCTAGTTCGTCTACTATGATATCTCTTATTCTAAGTAATGCATCATCGCAACACGATAGGAATATACTCGGTGCATGCCTCAAACTGTTCCTTATGTCAAATTAACACCCGTTCACATAGCCGTAAAAAGAAAACTTTAGGTAATCAGAGCTACACTGATTTTTGTACTTGTCTGCATGGTGAGCAAACGACCACAACAAATTTAAGTTAACCTGAGATCAGGCGTTATTTTTTTTTTCTTTTTTTTTTTGCTTCTTTACTTCTTTGGCTCGAGAGGGAAAAAAATAATAGGGAGAGGGCATGATCTCAGGCTAAATTTAAGTATGAGTGACGATCAAAACAAATAATTCCAACCAATGTTCCAAGAATTCTACCAAACTTTAACCAACGATCTCGCTAAATAGTCGCATACACATGTTACAAAGATTGCAGTTAGATTTGATTCAGACCCGCCTTGATAAGAAATCTAGCGCTAGAGGCATATAAAACCTGATGTTCTCGACGGCAATCCTGCTGTGGACGCTTTTAGTACTCTTGTAAAGGAACGAGCTAGTTTCCCCGAAAAGTTTAAATCTTCGTTCAACAGGTATAGCTTCGGTCCACTCTACGGTTCTTACAACAGGTCACAAGAACAGGATAAACTTGCCGTTTCTTGTGGGATTCCATGGTTTGTAATATAGACGAATCCAATTGTGCTGAAAGCTTGGTATACTTGTTTAGCAAGGTCTTTAACAGCTTGGCTGCTTTGATCGGGATCCTTGACGTCTAGACTCATTGCGCTGAAGTCTACAACTGGAATTGGACATGACGGATTGGGCGCCATGTTAAAGTCTTCACAGGGCTGACAAAAACAGAACCTATAAATTAGTAAAAATGATAAGACAATAACAGTTATAATAATGATAAATTAATATTTAGGTATGCCGTCAGAACTGAAGTCACTTTCATGGCACAATTTTCGAGAGCATACGGGTGCAGAACGTGTGCTTAAGACAGTGCTAAGACGTCCGTCATAGAACATATACTTTTAATACAGTTTGAATATGCTTCTCTATAATTATCTTTTGCCTTTTGTATAAAGTAAACTGTTGACGTCAACTGAAGAAAACTGAATTTGCCGGAAATTAAGGTGTCGGTTGTGACTTTCAAACTACGGCTATTGCAAAGATTTCCGTGACACACTACTCAAGCACTCTTTCTTATGCTCTGATATGACCCACCCATACCTGAGTAGGATCGAGGCAAAAATCTCAAATGAGGCTGGCTTCAGGCACAGGTAACCCAGGCTCGTCACGTACGCGACCTGAATTAGTGATAATGCAGAAATATCAGAGTGTCATAAATGGTTGCAAAAACAGATGTTTCGGGTGTATAATCCTTCGTCGGTGAAAACCGTTAAACTAACCGTTAAACTTGACCTATGATTCAAGAAATCGATAGATACGTGAGACTAAGGTGGTTACGAATTGCACATTATATGTGACGAATTGTCAAAAATTATGCAATAGTTACTCGTTTATGTATATAGATCGAGGATGATATATCACGAAACAATCTAAACAACGACATGGAAAGGTTTCCATGTGTACAGTTCTGTAGTCCTTCTACTCATTAGATTTGGTTCTTGTCCTGGCTAGGCCTTAGATCTATTGACTATTTTAAAAAGCACATACTAAATACGGTACAGTTACCTAAACTGTTCAGATCTATCTTTACATGGGAGCTCAAAACTTTTGCAATCGGTGGATCTCGCCGCCTCAATCGGTAAAAATTGTCATCGAACGGATTCGTTTGTACATATCAAAATTGATCTGCCAAGAAGCAAGTTTTACCGAGAATAGACAAGATTTTTTGTACAAAAGTATATCTAAATCCCTATTGCTTCTAGAAACGCAATACTCCAAGTATAGCAAAGCGTTTGAGGAGTTTGATAGTATTGTACATCATTAAATGATGGTATTACAAGGGCTTCTGATAGGTCGCGGCAAAAAAAAGCTCTAGGTTAAACTGTTCAGATATTCTTGACCTACCTTTCTATCGATCTTGATACAAAAAAACGACGTTACAAAACAACAAGCAAAAGGAAACGTTTGCGTGTTCCTGATGATATGCATGCATGGTATGTTCTTATTGGGCACAAGAATGACACGTGCCCAAAAACAGAAAAGGGAAAGGTCACGCAATTCAAAAACGAACAAGAGTTTCGTATGTGTTCAAATATCCCTTATAAATGCATGTTTCTGAGAGCCTAGTTGATTTCATTTCATTCTTTTCGGTATTTTAATAGGATGACCATAGCATGGGATCAATTTCTTTAAGAATTTGTTCTTCTCAAAACTCCTCTCCCGACGGACCTTAAACTTCACTCACTTACTCCAGGGGGCCTAGAAACTAGTCATTCTTCAATTATTCGTTCCAGATTCCTCTCGTCCATCTAGTAAAGACAAAATGGCGGCCACAGATATTCCTATTGTGGACTTCAGTGCAATGAGCCTAGATAACAAAGATCCTCTGTCGGAAAACGGCCAGGCTATCAGGATAGTAGCCAATGAAGTTTACAGAGCTTTTAGCACAACTGGATTTGTTTATCTCAAAAATCATGGGATTTCAAAAGAGACGGTAAGTACAGAGCAAAATTCGAAATTAATTCGAACTTTAGGCCCCTTATAGAAAATACGCGACTTTTCTAACAGTGTTGTGTAAGTAATGTGTTGTACACTTATTTTCGAGGGTTAAACCTCCAATCCATGCTTAGTGGCTAGAGAGGCAACTTTCTAATTTTTATATTAGTCTTTACAAGCTTAATTGCGCAACGTGAAGTTTTTAATTAGGAGCAATAATTAACCTCCAAAGTTTCAGCATTAACTACTTTCCATTTACAGTCACCACAGCTGTATTAGATGAAAATGAAAATTCTGTTATGATCAGCATTGTAGGGCGCAATCCATTCAACCAAAATTTCCGGAAAGTTGGGTCCAAAATGGATCATGCCCATAGTTATAGGAGTTGTTATGACAACATAATGGCATTATTAGTTAATATTGTACTGGCAGTCATTTTCCCACATTTGGAGGTCTTTTTCCAAAAATTGTTTATGGGAGCTTGTACCCACAATAGCCACCTCACGTGGTTTCCTAAATTATTGTCCTCTGTTTCATTGTCATGCCATCTAAAATAAAAATGCAAACCATTCAATACAGAAAGTCCAGAAACTGGGAAATGAAAGAAGTTAAATTCAAAAAGCCTTGCCAAGAACCAGGTCTGTGTGATATTTCATACGCAAGATATTCGAAGAAGCATTTTACCCAAATTTATAAAGCTTTGTATGGAGTCGCCATGTTAGTGTCTGTTTGAGGGGCACAAATATGGCTGCCGGAAACCAATAGAAACATAAGTCTTTGAGTTTTCTTGGGGGATGCAAAAGTGCAAAAACGTCACTATGAGGAACTCATAACTATTAAAGTTATATTTATTCAGAGACAAGGAATGTTTAGATACAGCAAAATCTAAAAAAAATCGGTAAAGTTTTTAACCCATATAATAGCTTTCCAGGCTGCCAGCTAAATGCCGCATCATGCAAAAGCCTGAAAATTCAATCATTCTCTATCACAAAACAAAGAACCCTTTCAAACCAAAAATTTGTATAGATGTCTAGGTGCTGTAATACCTCATGAAAGAAGAAACTCAGAAGAACTGATGGTTTCTTAGTTTGAATTTTGGTGGCGTATTATGAAAAACAAGAATTATAACAATCAAAAAGAGTAAACTATGTTATTATTATTTTGCAAAAATGCTGGTGAGAGCCCCTCACCTCATGCTTATCACTGCAGAGACATCCTTTTTTCTTGTAATTGGCTTAAGCTATCCCCATGAACTTTTCACGTGCATTTTCAAATGGAGTGAAACTATGAGGTGAAAATTGCTTTTTCAAAGAGTTCTTTTTCTCTTGATATTAACCAATTATCATGGTTAATAAAGGAAATTGTACAGTTTTAACCTGCATTTCATCATTCATCTTATATGCTTGAACTTATGTCGTACCACTGTGGATATTAGATGTCGCATTCTGTAAGTTTGAAAAATTTAATATTCATGGTATTTTTAATTTCCCAGAAACTTTGAAAGCAGTATTCAAGACGTGGTTAGCACATAGGCTTTGTACAGTGGTACATTACATTTGATGGAGTTAAGTGCTCTATCTAGGTCCTGTTAGAGTAGAATTCTGACAGGCAACGTGGACTTGAAACAGCAACATTTACACAAGACAGACAAAATGAGTACAGACCACCCCAAACTAATAAGGCAGTAACAAAAATTAGCACAAATACTATGAGTAGTAAAAACAACAGAGTCAACATCGCTTCCTCATCAGTAAGTGAAACAGTTTTTGAAAATTAGAGTTTTAGGATATATGTATCACTCCCCTATTATTCAGCCTCTAGCCTAGGAAGACCTCTTTGTTCTTTTTTGCAGGTTGACACAGTTTTTGAAACCTTTGATCGGTTTTTTAACTTGAGTCCTGAAGTAAAAGCAAAATATGCTAAAACAGATGTAACATCAGCAAATGGCTGGGACGCAGTGGAGAGAGAAAGGTAACTTTGTATATATATGAAATTTTTTGCATGTTCATCAGGAATGCAATAATTTTTCTAGAGAGTTTTATCAGAAGGGATAATTTTCTGAGGTGCTATTTTTGACTGTAGAAAAATTGCAAAAATAGTTTTGATTCACAAGAATATAAGGTCCCATATCAGGGCTTGTGATATTTTGCAGTGGTGTAATTTTACACAAGAGATCTAAAAGACATTATCCAATGGCCTCTCATAATTCATTAAAAATGCATTTAATCTGGACAAAAAAGCAATAATTGCAATTATTTATTATAAATGCCAATATGTGTTTACTCTAACCATACTGTTAGTATTACAAACAAATGGAGAAATAGCATGAGTTATTGCCACATGAGACTCCCTGGGAACTTCACATAATTTACCAAGAATATTTTTTTGCTTTTCGTGAAACAAGAATCCAACATCCTGATGAAATTCCTACACCTATGATGGATACATGTATATTATTATTATGACAGAAAACATCTTGACTAAGGATTTGTCTACTTCTAAAACTAACCAAAGACGTGTACATTTATAGATGAATGTAGTTCAGAATGAAATTCATGTTAGAATGTTTTCAGTACTTAAAAAAAAAAACAAGCCGGATTGTCAGGTTAAAAACTTGAGGCAAAGCCTAGAGTTTTTACGCCTGATAATAGACGACTGCCAGTTTTTTGAATGGCTTCGAAATCTCTGATGTAGATCAACTCATTCTTACACTAATATTTAGATTTGGTGTTATTTTGGTTTAAAAAATTGGACGTAAAGTTTAGTCATGTCTTTATCAGATATAAAGACACTCATTAAACATTAATTTCTTTTGTTTTTTCTTTATGAATTATTAATGAGATTATGAATCTCAGTTTGTCCTCTTACTGTCAGAGTAAAAGAGAATTATTTGGAGTTAAAGCTTTAAGTCATTTTCTTTTCAGGCTTAACCCAGACAGACCGGGAGACTTAAAAGAGTCCTTTGATGTTGAATGCTTGGATAAAAAATTTGTAAGTGTGAAAAATTACACACTACTTTTGTTCTGATTTTACAGTTTCTGTTATGTAACGTTTTTTTTTGCACCTGTTTCATTTGCAACTTTTTAATTGAACCTTAAACTCACAGAAATAATTGATGTGTAAATTATCCGTAGAATATGCAATACATTGTCCAAGAAAGAGGTGATGAGAATAGGCGAATTAATCGGCCAGATGTTGCCATATTGATATAACCCCAAGTTCGCTTAACTAATGCATAATAAAAATAAATGTATAGCAGCCACAAAAGAGAATTACTAATCAGATCTTAAGAGTTCAAGGGCTAAAGGAAACAATGTACAATTCCATGCGTGAAGGCTGTCTGCCTGTTTTTTACGAAAAATGCAAGGTACAGACTCTGGGCCAAAAATTATCTTTAGCCTTTGCCTCAAACTGCCCAGCATGTTTATGTAAAGACTAAAATTTTCTTGTTGCCCTAGGGAAAAATAGGCTGAAAGGGACCACTTGATCCTTCTAAGGGCAGGCCTTTTTTTGGCCAATGATTTTGTCCCGGGAAATATCAATTGTTATTTTATCATCTCCTTCTTTTCTTCATAATACTTGTGATTGCACAGTGATCAAACTTAATTGTTGCTGCTTAATAATTAACATTTATTTTGTTATTATCACACAGATGTGGCCAAACAATGAGCTGCCAAACTTTTGTAACACAGTGATTTCTTTCTACCAAACTGTCTCAGATCTAGCTTTAAGAATTCTTACTGTAATGGCAGTAGGCCTGGAATTGGTAAGTTAATAGCCTAAAAATGAATTAAATAATAAGTAAGTTAACTTGAGTAAGTACATGTAACCTTGTTTGTTTTATTTAAATTTCTGTTCTTGTTACTAAGATGATGGGTGCCTTGATACACTGTACGTCTAGCTGTACCATTCTGTCAAATTAGACTCAAAATTATTATTGTTTCATTTTTTGGACTTTTTACATGTTACTTTGTCTTCTTTGAACGTTTTACATTATGGATCGAGAGCAATCACCATTTCTTGGTTCTGCATGGTAATTTTGGAACCCTTCAAAGTTATCAAGAATTTTAATTTTGAAAACAAGCTTAAGAGATGTCAGAACCATTGTCAAGTTGCATGCTGTGGAAGGGGGAGCAGGAAGTATAAGTGAATAACTGAACTGTCATCATCATCAGTAGTTTTCTGTAGAGGAAGGCCTTAAAAATTTAGGGTCCATTATTTTTCATGCATGAATAAGGTAAAAGAGTAAAAATTGATAAATGCAAGCTTAGAAAACTGGGAGAAAGATTAAGCAAAAAACTATTAATTCTCCCCTCTGCACTTGCCTGAAATTTGCACCATGAAGGAAAACCAAGCATAGTGCTTGATTTGAAACACAATTTGGGTACTTTGGGGCAGTATCTCCTGGTCTAGAATGGGTCGAACATGAAAAAACAGTTTCCTTGACATAATATACATTTTTTACAAGTTCTATGCACCAGTCTACAAGTTCTATGTTGTTGTTTAGATGTGAGGATTAGGTTGACTACCCTTTAGGCAGTCAGTTATTCATGGCTTTCACAAGCTAATACACATTCTAAAGAAGTTGCGTCTGCTTTCAGAGTTACTAGGGACTTTAAGATCCAACGACGCGACGGCGACAAGAATGTCGCTTAAAAAGTGAATTTGCGTTCTTTCAGTCTTTATAACGATTATTCATACCCACTTACTTTGTCAATTGTAGGCGAATCCTCCTGAAGCTGAATTGCAAGGGACCAAATTCAAGCTCTGAAAGAAAATAAAATTTCGTCGTTGCTTGTTTACGTCCTCCATAAAACGCGAAATAAGGCATTTTCACGTCGTAGTCGTGCAAAAACGGGAAAGAAATGGTCAAAAAAGTGTGATGCACGTGCGAAGTTGTTGTTTTGCTAATTAAACCAATTGTTTTTTTGACGTCCTCGTTGCCGTTCGCGTCGTTGGATCTTAAACTCCCTATTATCAGGTTGACAAACATCAGTTATTTTCCGTGGGCATACTCCCATAGATATATGTAATGGCCTATACAGGCAAGGTTGCGACCAAAAAGGGGACCTTTTTCAGGCTTCAGGTATATCAGAGGGTAGGGTTTTCCTTGTTGAAATGCAGTAAAAACCTGCGTGTAAGAACCTAGCGGTTTAAGAACCTACTGGCAGAATTTCCCATTTTTATACCCCAAAATATAAGAACCTGTTTAGCTAAGCAAAATTTATTAGGTTCTTATATGTGAGTTATGGGATATTTTCATAAGCATTTTTAACTAAGAAGTATAACTTTGGTGACTTTGTGAAGTGAAGTCTGTAATTGTTTATTTTCTTTGGACCTTGTGCATGTGTTCCTTGAAGTTCAGCCATTTGAAACATTAGTCCTCCCCTACAGTAAGAAAAAGCGTACTAGCCTCAGCTTTGTTTCATCGTGTACCGGAAAGGTCTATGTAATGGTTCAATGTAAAAATTTAATTGTTATGGCTTACTGTATTCGTAACTTATTTTTTGGTAGCCGGGGAATATAGTCGGCTTTCTACGCTTCTCGTCTTTAGGGAACAATCATAGCTCCTGATCGGATTCTGGACAGATTTTACCTCACCAGTATAGAATTTCTCTCTTTGAGGCGCGCTGACGTCGTTCCAGCAAAACGCAAATAGCGGCGAGGTTTGAGGATGACGACTGCATTCGCAGGCTGGTATTTTTTTTTTCTAATTTGCTGTTTATTTTTGCTGACATTGATCTTTTAGGAGCCAGATGCATTCACGCGCTACTTCAAAAAGATGGGTACGTCGGAGGGTGCAACTCAACTTAGGTATAACTTTTATCCCAAAGTTGAAGAGTTGAAGCAAGTCAAGACAGACCAGATAAGGTGTGGAGAGCACACGGATTATGGTGCTATTACGGTTCTTTTTCAAGACAGCATAGGGGGATTAGAGGTAAGTAAAAGAGGTCTAATAGAGAGGAGAAGTGTGATGTCATGTTACCATGGTAGCAAAATTTCTGGATCACAGCAATAGGGAGCTCAAGCAATGATGACGGCGACGGCAACGAGAACGGCAAAAAAGAATAGGTTTATATTAGCAAAACAACAACCTTGCACGTGCATTATGCTTTTTTGTACATTTCTTGGCCGTCGTTACACGAAGTCCTGCGACATGAAACTTCCTAATTTTACGCGCCCGCTTTATGGAGTACAAGGTGAACACAACACAAAAACCTTTTTCTTTTTCTTAACGTAGGTACGATCCTTTCGGATTCAATTCCAGAAAAGTTCGCCAACATTTGACAAAATAAATGGAACAGAATAAGATCGATAAAGTCTGAAACAGTGCAAATTCACTTTTTAAGTGACGTTTTCGGTGTTTTGTCATCCAGAAATTTCGCTACCATGGCAACGTGATGTAAAGACTTCTCCTCTCTATTCTTTACACAACTGTCTTGCCGCAGCCATGTGGGTTTCTTTTGTTGAAAACTTTGACTTGCCGACTTTGATTCACAGGTAAAGAATGTTAAGGGTCAATTTGTACCCGCTCCACCCATTGAAGGAACAGTACTGGTCAACATCGCAGATTTGATGCAAAGATGGACGGCAGACAAACTTAAGTCTTCGGTACGCAAACCTCTCGTATGTTCTTTGGTTTTATTTAACATCAGGCCTCGGTTGTTCAAACGTTGGATAGCGCTATCCACCGGATAAATCACTATCCAACGGATCAGTATTACGAAAATTAATTACGGTATCCGCTGGATAGTGATTTATCTGGTGGATAGCGCTATCCAACGTTTGGACAACCGGGGCCAGGAGTATAAGCCAGCGCGATGCTCACATGTAATTCTAAAGACGAATGGGTTCAAGACATCATCTGTCTGATAGATTTGTTTAACGAGGGAGGGAGGGAGGTCAATCACTCCCCGACTCTTCCCCTCGCCCTGGATTATGCCCCCCTCTTAAATGGCCACAATTAAAGGTCATAACACCCACTTTCGTAAACGTAGTCTCGTTAAACAGTGTAGCAATTTTTTTTCCCGAAACGTCATACGAAGTGCTTTAATTCGCGTGCAGGTAAACAGATTTAGCGCGCAAAATAGCCTTTGGAGTTCCTTATATTACAGAAGGGTAATTAAAAAAGTAACGCTCCACGCTAACTGTTTTCTAGGTCCATCGTGTATTAATTCCAGAGTCTGAGCAAAGACGTTCTGTTGCCCGCCGCTCCTTAGTATTGTTTACCGATCCAGATCTCAATGAAGTTATCGAATGTGTGGATGGCTCGAATAAATACCCGCCAATCACGACACGAGATTGGAAAAAGAAAAGGCTCTTGGAAACGTATTCGTACTAGGAAGTGTAAAGTCTGTTTTGATACTTTTGGCATGGAAATCTTGTGCACCGTAATCTATTTATAACATAAGGACGTTTGATGAACGGAAGGAAGGCGGCGTGATAAAAAGAGGAATAGTGTGTTACTTTCGTAGAACAGTAACGGTTACCTTGATGTAACTGAACCCTTTAAAAGACGAGCCAAGTTTAGAGAATAAAATGAAATGTACGGATCGCAAACGCAAATATGCGGATTGTTGAAAAATTGATCTTCAGGACGTGCTGCTCTTGCCAAATGAAGATTCCGCCCTTCATCGTCCCCATCGTCAGCGCTAAGGGAAAGTCTCCGAGACAACCTCGTTCCCAGGGCGCTTTTCATTCCCTGGCTTTGGAGGAGGAAAAAGCGCCCTGGGGACGAGGTTGTCCCCGAGAACGAGGCTGGGCCTGTATGAAGAGAAGCTAAGGGCCTGTTTACATGGAGTGGGGGAACCTGGTCTAGTGGGGTTGATTTCTTTTGTTTTCACGCTCTGGGGAACACAAAACAAAAGAAACTTACCCCACTAGACTGGGGTCCCCCACTCCATGTAAACAGGGTCTAAGTAAATATTGACCGCATTCAAAGGAGAGAAATTTGCATAAGCTCATCAAAATACTGTAAGGCTAAAACTTATAACTTTCACTGTTCAAATTTTATTATATTACCGTACTTACAAACGTCCTGGCCTCAGTTGTTCAAACACTGGATAGCGCTATCCACTGTGGATCCCGAGAATATCCTTCCAGACCCTGGGCAAACCTGCACCTTAAAGAGTACTTAAGTATTATGGTATTTCTTGGAAAAAGCTTTCCGTGTATTTTAAGATAATTAATACCAAGAGCCATTTTAAGTGCTCTGTTTTTTTTTTTAATTGGTGTTAATGTATGCTTTAGCGTAAGGCTCGTGAAAACGACCGGGCGCTAATTCTAAAGTGTAAATCTGTCTGTGAACGTTAAATGGCATATTTTGCAGTTTACTTGCCATGATGCAATTTATTTATTTATTGTTATGTACAAATATTGTACATATTTTAGTTTTGTTAACAACCTCGTTATTCTTCTTCAACAAATCGAGTACAATTTACACTCCTGTCGATCATGGAAATTATTTTATAAATTGCGAAAACGCCCTACTCCAGCTAATTGTCTCTTTTGACCAATGAGTTAGGGGGAACTTCTATAATTATTGCCCTCTCAGGGTTTTGGCCCAGGCGTCTCTGACGTTATGGCGTATAATGCTATATTTGTAAACGGAGGAAATTATATCGATTTACCCCGCACAAAAGGCGTAGAAGTGAGAGTCAGGAGTTGTAAAAAATGACAGAAAGTCGGTATAAGGAGATACTGCAAAAGCCAGCGCGTTTCCTGCGCGATGAAGAGTGGGTATGTATTTACAGTATACACATAAAACCGTAGTATTTTCCCACCTGACTTTTTAAATGTTTTAAAGCCAAAAACCACAAGAGTCTAGTCTAATTTAATGGATATGTGATGATGATGATGATGACGATTGTAAATATATTTTTGATATTTTTTATTCCATGCTTATGATATGTTAATATATCGACTCAATTCATAAAAAAGCTGCCTGCTAGATTGAAAAGAAAAGAGATGGCAGCCTAAGGCTAAATTAAATATGAAAGGAGGAATTAAGTATGAAATGTGGAGGCAGTGAGTCATTTTCCAACGCCATATTGTGCCTAATTTTATTATTATTTTGAAACTGATTCCATGTGTAGTTTTAAGTCTTGATTATATTAGCTCCACCCTCGGAGACCCAGAGGCAGTCATCCCTCGTCCTCAGGGGGCCCAGAGGTCCCGGCCTCCTCGAACGAGATTGAGGGGCAGTCAGTAGGCGCACTGACTGCCCCTGGGTCTCCGAGGGTGAATTGGCCCCTGCAATGTGATAGAATAAATTAAGTTGTTTTGCTCACACCCCGGTGTAAAATCTTTGTATTGCGATGAGCAAATGATGAAACATGTACATGTGCAAGATACTCATGCGGGGTCTGAGCAAAGATCATATGTATTGTACCGTGTGCTCTCTCTTCTGTATTAAACTGACCACCCAAACTAATTCAATTATTGTCAGTTTGTTTGGATATCATTATTCAGTACAATATCAGGATGTCCTCTCGATCGAGGCAATACTGTTTCAGTATTTGTTTCTGTATCATGGATTTTACAAAAGTTGCGACTCGCTCGACAGGCGAAGAGGAACCGAGTGCCTGAATTATATTCATTCACATTTTCGTGACCTTTTTTTTGATAATTCTTTTATAATTACTTCGCCTGGCATGGCTGCCAACTTTTACTGCGACTAAAATCTTACTATAGCCAAATAGTTTGTAGCGACTCGGCAAATAGCCAACCAAACTGTGGACATGCTGGGGTTGGCTGACCTTAAGCCACAATAACAAGGCAAAGGAGGATGGGTACATCGGAAGTCGCACGGCTACCTTTGACAGGAGGACAGAAGCCAATAATGAATCTAAAAGCGCTGGTTAGAGAGCAAAAACAGGGGCAAGATCAAAACAAGAATATTCCATTCAAACGGAAAGTAAATTCACGAGCTAAGCATAAATTCAAATACCAGTAAAATAAAAAGATCAGAACAGGAAAAATCCACACCAACAAAATCCTGACGAAACTTGACTCAAAAACTGAAGAAGCTTGAAAGATAAGGCAAATTTTAAAACCAACATTTAAAATACTTCACTTCACAACTTTTTTCGCGGAAAGATTCCACGAATCGAACTATGATTTTTGTTCTGTCCATTAGATTGCGGACCTGTCTGTGTTTTTAAACACTTCTCCCTCACCCAGATTTTTCCCAGTCCCTGTTCGGTGTTTTTCCAGGCCCTCACGGTCAAAAACACTTGTAAAGGCAAAAACCACAGCAACAAACCAGTGAGGTCAGCCGGACCTTTAGTAGACCTGGATCAGTAGAATCTCCAATGAAAACCAAACTACAAAACAGGAAACTGATCCTTACGGCAGGAAGAATGAGAGATAAAACTAAGAAAAGAAAACAAAAATCAATGCCTCTCGCTGAAACTCGCTCAAACCACGTGACCCGACGAAGCTCATCAGCCGCGGGCAGTAATGAGGCCCAGGGACGGGACTAATCAAACCCTCGGGAAACCCAGATACATAGTATGCATGGCCGATATGCTGGTCTCCGCAGTAAAACTAAGCCAGTGGATTCGATCTGCAACGCCACTTGCACCCGGGCTGAAACCCGCCATTCGGAGATCTAGACTTGCACACTTTTTTGACACCGAACTCCCAACCCGTACAAAGGCTTTCGTAGTCGTTTTTCTACGTTCTCTATAAAACGCGAAATTAGGCATTTTAATGCCGTTTTTGTCGTGGTCGTGCAGCGACGGCAAAGAAATGGATAAAAAAGCGTGATCTAGCTATAGAGTTTTTGTTCTGCTTATTAAACTCCGGCTTACTGTTTTTAATTTTTGATGTTCTCGTTGTCGCCGCCGTCGTGGCATCTTAAACTCCCTATCCATGTTGCCAAATACGTCTGAATTATGGTCAACTTTCTTATCCCTAAATACTCCTTGATCTTAAAGTCGTGGCTATTGAAGCTTATCATAGGCGCGTCAACTTTATCGGCTACTAAATGTTCAACCAGGCTATACATGAGATCAAATTTCTTGTACTTAGCTTATTACATCTATACTCAATTAAGAACGGATGGCAAAACTTCCAGTGACATGTTGTCGTCAAGGTATCATGATGGAAATCGTGGAGTCGATGACACTTTTTTCATAATGCATATGAATGTTATATTTTTAAAATTGTGACTTTGTGCGAGTTTTTCCTGTGTGTTAAATCAACTTTCGACGTTGAGGGACTGGTATGTTGTCGAAACAACTGTGTTCTGTTTAAAATATAGCAGAGTAGTCCAATTCTTGCTAAATTTTGCAATGATCCAATGTTTGTTAAAAGAGGAACAGCAATTTACTTATCGCTTAGGACACTGTTATCCTATATGATACTCATTGTTTTTTCTCTATATATACTTTGTTATTAGTGTTTCTTCCGATTCTTAATAACTATCCCCTTTATTCCACTTGTTAAATTTTCTACTGACCTTCTAACCGATATTTCTTTTTTTTTGTT